GGGGCACTCTAAAGAAAAGTCATCTAGGACTAAGCCTAAACAGCAGGGACGAACTCCGGAGAATACGAAAATTGCTTCCGTACACCGGAGTTCCTCTCCTCTTCAAAAGCTTAGTCCTAAAACGGAGCGTTTCCGTGATTTTGACGCGATGTTGCGAGGTGCCCCCCCCCGAGCCACATTGCGCCGGCTTTTGCACATACTTCTCGGATATTTACATCAAAAATGCACGAAAAATAGGAACAATGAGACAAGACTGCAACAAGTGAACAGTTTAAAGCGAGTAAGAGATCCTATTTGGAAACATAGTGGAAGTTCGGATTTTCGTTTACTAGTCTACCGAGTTCTCGTTCTCAAAACTCGAGAGGACAGGTAAACCAACTCGCTTACCTGCAGTACTATCCTTTCTGATGGCAATACAGCACAGATTCGTTGTAAGTAGGAGCAGAATAGTAAAAGAACAAAATAAGACACATACCAGCACAGAATAGAATGGAGAGTACTGGGAATAACTCAGAAGAATAAAGTAGCATTCACCAAAGGCCGATTGGAAACGTGCCAGGCCGTCGCAACGTCAGTGCGCGCACATAATCCATTCAAATTTCCGCGCGCGGGAAGATAATTCAAACTGAAGTACCTTGCGGGGAATAGCTGGGATCGTTTTGGAGGAAAAAGTGGGCGGGGTTTTGATGGAAGATGGAGATGGTGGAGGTAGGGAAAAGGGGGTCGTATCAAATCCACCGTTGGGGGAGGGGGGTCGTAAAAAATTTTCGAAAAGTAACAACGATAGGACAGACCCTGTCGGAATCGACCTGGTGGTGTCACCCTTTTCTGATGGAACTTATCCTTCTCCAATTCGAGAGTAACCAGCTTGAGGTGCGTCACCGGCCTTGGCTCCTTTCCAGTGTGTTTTCTGAGGGCATGGTACGTAAATATTCCTGCGGGCCATTAGATCTTTCAGAATGTTCTAGTTAACCTGTATGTTCAGAGACCCCACTCGAAATAGGATCACTCAGCCCCCGACAGCCATAAGATATTGACCGCAGGTCTCGGGCGAGGGTTTTGCGCGCCCTTTCTGGTGATTTCCTAGCATTACCACTGATTCTTACACGACTTCTGATCACGTTTGTTGCGACGGGGGTCTTGGTATGTTGGTTTATCAACTGGGCTCGTTTTAGAACCATGTATGCAATTTTTACTAGGGATGGTTAAGTCTCGGCAAGGATCGAATCTGCAGTTCCCAAAGTGCAGACATGAGCGATATTCCTGTTTAGCCGACCATCTCTGGCCTACAATCTTGCCCAGAACACCTCGGTTCCTCTATCAGATTTTCTTGGACGAATAGTGGTTGACGTTATTGTGTTCTACCATTCAAGACAAGGAGGAATAGCTGTTGAATGTTGTTGAAATCTGTGCAACGTTTATGAAGAGGACATCATTGTCGAGCAAAATCATTGCAAGTGTTTCTAGGGTGTCTGACTAAAGACTGAAATTCCGGGACAGAGTACTTGAAGTGGGATTCTACGATAACGTAGAAGGTTGGAGATGGGGAATGTTACCCAGTGGAGACCGGCGAACCTGCCAAGGGTGTGGTTGGTCACGCTTTCCGCATAGAAAAATACACCTCGGCGATCTAGCATAACCTCACCGCAGCGCTATTAGGGCGGTACACCTATTGACTGGCTAACCACTCGCCGTAGGTGTCCAGCATAGAAAGCGTCACCTGGAAGAGAGCGGTACCGACGAGAGTCGCATCATGTGAAAAGCAAAAGGCAGGGAAGGGGTCCTATTTGTAGGGTTCCAGGCCGTTTTCTTCGTCTTTTCCTCATCTCGACACCACTAACCATCTCTACCTTGATTTTGATTGATGGACTCTCTCTAACCGTTAGCTCCGCCTTCGAATGGATATCTGAGCGTTTCTACGGCGTCGTCAGATTACTCATGAAGAGAAATTCCTCTCAAATGACGTGCGAGGGCATGAAATTTTTCGGGCGATATCAAGTGAGGATTGCAAAACCTGACTCGCGAAGGATCCGGGTAGCAAAATCAGTGACACATCGACTCAACGAGGCCATCAAGATAGCAAGAATTATAAAATCTCGAAAAACTTCCACCTTGGAGTGATAGCTGCTTTTGGTTTTGTTATCATCGCAGAATGATGCCATCGAGAACTGATGTCACCGAATAATTCCGCTGGACTTTTGGTCACAGCAGTGTGAGTCACAAGCAGTAATCTGACATATTTTTGAGTTGT